AAAGGCCAAGCACATGTGTAGAACTTTACATGCATTCAAGAAAGATCTGAGATGGCTCTAATCCCCCACCCCTCACTGACCTTGATGACCCACATAAATAGGAAGACAGGAAGTGAAGGCTAAGCCAGGGCTATCAACTTCCTGTTCCAGAGTTAAAGGCTTACTCCAAATATAAACAAAAAAGTTTCCTGGAAAAGTCTGGGAACTGTATTGGTTCTAGGTATTTAGATTAGAGGCCAGGAAATGCCTTCTTTTACATTTTGCTGGTTGCATAATTGTCAACAACTCTGCAGGGGGCTTGAGTTGATGGTAACACAGCTGATAATAGTAAGGATCACTCTCTCACCCTTCAACTCCCTGACCTTCCAGCACTTTTGGAGGGCACATTTTATATGTTGGTCTAATAGAAGTTGGAGATAACAGTGAAATTTTGGGGGTCTTTTTTCTATTTTTGAGAAAGGGTCTCACTGTGTAGCTCTGGCTGGCCTGGAATTCACTATGCAGACCAGTTAGCTTCAAACTCACAGAGATCTGCCTGCCTTTGAAGCTCCCAGGTGCTGGGACTGAAGGCATGCACCACTACAACTGGCTATAATTTGGCTGAGGCTGGGGGAGCTCTTAAAGCTCAATTAAAGAAATAGTGAAAACTGTTCTCTAGTTAATTGTTTTCTTAATGTAATACTATAAACAAATATTTGCTGTAATTCCAATCTCCTTGGTCCTGAGTTCATATTAAGAGGTGAAGAATTGGATAGTAAAGGGTTTTATCTGAAAATTTATCAGAAGCTATTTAGTTCCTGTGTTTTCATTTGGATAGCAAGGAACTTTTAAATCCAGAGAGTGTTACATGGATTTCTTCATTGAGTTGTAACAAAATCATGACAATTAAGGCTATAGAGCAGTTCATTAGAAGTACAGAAACTTGCTGCCAAGCCCGATGTCCTGAGTTTGTTCCCTGGAACCCATGTGGAGGAAAGAGCAAACTGATTCTTGAAAATTATTCTGGCCTCCATTTATGTACACACACATACACACACACACACACACACACACACACACACGCACACAATGTTTTTAAAAAGAGAAAGACATACAGGACTGGAAAAAGTAACAACTCTAAATCTGAGCCTAGGAATCTTGCCACAGGCCTTCATGTACTTGAAGCAATTTAGGATCTGTCAACACTTCTTTGTAAATTCTCAGAAAAAATGAACAGGAGAGCTCTAGAAATCTGGTAATTATGAAAATCTTGGGTAACTACCTTCAGAAGTACAATGACTTGGCTTAGAAACTATTTTGTTTTTAATTAATTTTATTTATGTGTATGGGTATGTGAGTCTATGTCATGTGCAGGTGCCTGTGGAAACCAGAAGAAGGTGTTGAATCCTCTGGAACTGGAGTTACAGGCAGTTATAAACTATCTTACATGGGTGCTAGGAACCAAACGTAGGTCCTCTGTAAAAACAGCAGGTGCTCTTAACCATCTCTCCAGCCCTATAGACTATTTTAATTTAAAAGTATGGACATGTTTTTGATATCTTTAGGGGGAAAAAAAAAAGGCCAGGAAGAATGAATGGCACACACTCGCAATCCCAGTACTTGAGAGACCGAGGTAGGAGGATCAGGAGTTCAAGGTCATCCTTAGTTATATTGTGAGTTTGAAGCCAGCCTAGGCTACACTAGATCCTGTCTCACACATACCCCACCAGCAAACACCAAAAAAAATTGTATGGTTAAGGGAGACAAAGTTAATTCTAGAAAGAACTTAAAACATGATCAATTTTATTCTAAAGAGTAACATTCAGTGTCGTTTCACTTTTTTACACCCATTTGCTTTGTGAATAATTGACTTATTTACTGCTGACTTTAATCTTTAATGTTCCATACATAACACGTGCATGAGGGACAGAAAGTAGGGATCAAACATTACGGGATACAGGCAGAAAGTTTTTTAGTGCTCTTAGGACCTGCTTCTTGGTACTGTAGCCTTATAATCCAAGAGTGAGTGCTGGCTTCTACGTCAGACATCGCATTAGTAGCTGTGGAGAGGGATTCATGTGCAGTGGTCTCCACTTGGTTCTGTTCAGTTTGACTTTTCTGTTTTAAATGGTTTTAGTTGAGCAGTTCATAGACTGATTTTTTTTTTAACCCTGTACATGGCATAATCAATCTTAATGATGTTTATTCTTAGGTGGGTTTGCTGAGTTCTCTCGTTGTTTCCCCGGCCTCTGTGAAGGAAAATCCACTCTCATTCCTACCTGCATATCTCAGCCTTGCTTGCCTGTTGCCAACATTGGGCCAACTCGAATTCTTCCCAATCTCTATCTTGGCTGCCAGCGAGATGTCCTCAACAAGGTGGGTGCTTTGAAAATGTCCTTCATTGCCTGTCTGTTGGTAGCACTGGAGAAGCGGCAGTTGCGGGTTACCTGTCATTTGAACACACCGTGATCCCAGAAAGGAGGGCACCGACAGTTGGATCCCAGCCAAGAGTTGTGTCGTCTTTCCTGTATTATTTTGTTTGATGTTGTTTATTGCTATAGGACACCAGATTGTTGTCATATTTGCTTGTTTTTCCTCAAAGGTCAAGAAACCTGAAATAGGATGGTCATAGCTTTAGCCTTGTCTTCTTGTGCTAGTAATTGTTCTATTACAGTAATTGGGTATACCAGGAATACTTCAAATTTGCACTTTCTAGTGCAGCACACTAGAAAGGAGTTCAAGTTGGCCTAAGGGCCTCATAATGATTTTAGGCAGGAGAGTAGAGAGGTTAAAAGATGTCGAGTACAGAAGCTCTCTGGGTTCCACTGGGTCTAAAGTTTGCTGGAGCAGTTTGAGGAGAGAGGAACATGGCTTCTTACTGAAAGGGTGTGGGCAGTACTGAACAGGTATGCCTGTTAGAAGAACACATACTGAATTGAGGCTTTTGTGTGTAATGGCACAGACATAACATAATAGAACTATAATCTGATTCTATAGCTTACATACCCTTAACCAGGAATGCTGAAAAATAAAAATAAAAAGTGTTCCTCCTGCCTAGAAAAGTGACATTTTTCTAAAACATAATTTACAGCAACACTAATTGAAAAAGCAACCAAAGACATTGATTGAATTCTTGGCAATTTACAAGTGGCACTCCTTTATGAAGGGTGATAGTGGCCCTTAACATTTTCTCCTTGAGCTACTAGAGCGTTAGGCTGACTGTGAAGTGCACAGTGGCCTTCTGCACACAGGTAGCAAGGTTTTCTAGGAGCAAAAAATATTAGCATCTTTGGGCATCAGTGAGGCATTTTCATTTATTCTTTTTTCCCTTCAAAATGAGTGCTTTTAGCTTCTGCTTCCACAGTGTTGTTAATGTGTTTGCTCTTCCTCACTGCAAGATCTACCTGTTTGAGAGATGACAGCTGTGGGTTGTGCTTGTACAGAACCTTTCTGGTGGTCACAATGACTTTGAGCACGTGACTATTACTAATTCTGTTTTAGAGATAAGTAAACCATGTTACAGAAATCAAAATTAACTTCCTAAAGTCATATACATTCCTATGGGATGGCAAAGCTAAGAGTGTTTGGTTTATTTAATCCCCAGGTAAGAAAATCAAATTAGGGCTGGAGAGATGGCTCAGCAGTTAAGAACACTGGTTGTTCTTGCAGAAGACCTGGGTTCAAATCCCATCACCCACATGGCAGCTAACAACTGTCCGTAACTCCAGTTCTAGGGGCTCCGATGGCCTCTTCTGTCCTCCATAGGCATTGCATGACACGAGTGCACTTACCTACATGCAGGCAATACACACATACACATAAAATAAAAACAATAAAATGTTAAACAAAAAAAGAAAATCAAATTAAACTCCTGGTTAAGGTTTCTATTTAATCTTGGTAAACCTTAACCAGTTAGCACAAAGAGTTGTGTTATAGATCGTTTCAATTTTTATAAAAAAATTTTTTTGTCTTTTTTTTTTTTTTTTTTGAGACGGGATCTCCCTGTAGCCCCAACTGCCCTGGAACTCACTATGTAGACCAGGCTGGCCTTGAACTCACGGAGATCCGCCTGCCTCTGCCTCCCAAGTGCTGGGACTACAGGCGTGTGCCATCATGCCCGGCTCTCAATTTTTATAAAATTTTTGACAATGACACATTCATTTCCCTTTTCAGACTAACAACTTTGTGAACACTCATAAGGTGAGAGCAGTCAAACCAGAATAGAGAGAAGAGTAGTTTTCTGTTTTCCATTGCTGCCTTGTCTTCTAAGTGTATAGTAAGCAGGACATGTCCAATCTTTGGAGTGGAGAATGGGCTTATGGAGGGTCATTGGACAATAGTTTCGCCTAAGAGTTGTTACTGAAAGCTGTTACGAAGCTCTTTAAAATAGATGTGACTGGGTGTGGTGGTGCACCTTTAACCCCAGCACCTGGGAGGCAGAGGCAGGCAGATCTCTGTGAGTTCGAGGCCAGCCTGGTCTACATAGTGAGTTCCAGGCCAGCTGGGGCCTGTCTCAAAAAAAAAAAACAAAAAACCCAAAAACCGAAAAAACAAAACCCAGAAAACAAAGAAAAACAAATAACATAGATGTTAAGACTAACCTTGTCTTCTTTCTAGGCAGGCTTTCTCCAACACCTTGGGGTTTCTTACTCTTTCTCTAAAGTGCCCCTTCCTGCAGTGTGACTGCTAGTCCATCCTATGTTTGACCTCTGTGCTGACTTTAAAATGGCGTGGCTCTTTGCTTCTGTCTTCCATTCTCCAGGCAGCTGCTGAGATTTACAGCTTGCCTACCCTGAGGTTTTTCTTTTAAACTAATAAAATTGTCCTAAAGCCTAAAACATTTTTTTTTAAAAAGCTGGGTCTCTAGCACTAAGGGATAAGGGGGACTGAGAAAAGAAAAAAGTTAGGCTCTTTGTATTGTTACGTGTAACTCCCATAGGATTAGGATGCAGGTTAGCCACAAGTTAAGTCGTTTACCCAAGATTATGTCATTGACTTCAGAGCTGGTCTGTGGCAAGCCTAGCCATTTTCTGGAAAATGGGATGCTCTGTTTGAGGCTGTTAGGAAGGACTAACAAATCCTAACAGTTTGTTGTGTCACAGTTGAGATTGTTTTCCTTCCTGGTTTTTGTACAGCTAATTCTTTATCAATGATGTTCAATAGAAACGTAATGCAAGTCATGTACATAATTAAAATATTCTAGTAGCCTTATTTAAAAAAGCAAAAGGAATTTTGGAGTTAATTCTATTAACATTTGACTTAAGCCAATATATCTATTTTTTTTTTTCCTCTTTTTGAAGCAGGGTCTCTCTGTAGCCCCAGCTGGCCTGGAACTCACTATGTAGACCAGGCTGGCCTTGAACTCACAGAGATCTGCCTGCCTCTGCCTCCCAAGTGCTGGGACTACAGGCATGTGCCACCACGCCTGGCTGTATCTAAAATATTTTAACATAAAGTTAGTATAACAAATTGAGGTGTTTTATATTCTTCTTTTCCTTGTGCTCAGTCTTTAAAAATCTGCTGTGTGTTTTATACTTTGGCCACATTCTAGGTGCTCAGAGCCATATGTGGCCACTGGTAACTTCATTGGACTGTACAGGCTAAAACAGCATATACTGATTTTCTGATGTTTTAAAGACAAGGCTGTCCTGTAAAAACCATAAGAAGTTATTGGCTATAAAGCATACTTTTGTTTTGCTTTCCCTTTCCTGTACTTTTGTTTCTTACAATCTCTTCTTTCATGATCTAGTTTCGTATGACAGCAGCCACGAGAACGGTTGAATGTACTGTATTGAAGTCATTTCGTTCCATATCGGAAATGAGAAGAGTTTAAGACTCGCTAGTTATATGAAGGATGAGATTGCTTTTTTTCTTTTTTCTTATAATACTGGGGCCGTGTACATGGCTAGGCACGTGCTGTACCACTGAGCTATGTATTCAGCCCTCAAATTTCTTGATCATTTTTCTTATCACTTAAAAGTCAGAGGAATTTTTATTTCGTGCTTAAATTTACAATGTATGCTGATAGAAGGACCTGTTGGGAGGAAGCCAGCGTGTCTCTCGTGAGCTGTTGAGCCTGCTTTGTCAGCCGTCTGTTGTCAGCATTCTTTGTAGCTTCTTGTGGTGAACTTGAACGTGCAGCCTTGGTTTCCTGTGCTGCCTTATTGTTCTGCTGCTGCTACAACTGCTGCTATTCTCTGTTGTTGTTTTTAATTTTTATTTTGTTTTACAGATGTTGGCCTGGACACAACACAGTCAAATGATGCTTTCAGGGTTTCCAAGAGAAATCTATGATGTAGGAAGATAAAAAGATCACCAAAATTATCAGTAAAAATATTATTATACCAGGTATAGAATACCATACAGTGTGCAAATTTGTTGGTTAGATAGGACTTAATTCATTAAACAGTAATTCTCATGACAGAGTGACTCACAGCAAAACTCTAGTCTGTCAGCACCACATGATGACTGAGAGACAGCTTTGGGAGTAGACAGTTTTACATACCAATTCTCTACCTAACCAGCTGTATCACTTTAGCCAAGTTACTGAATCTTGGTTTCTTCATCTGAAAACTGATAACTCCTTCCTGTTAGTGCTCATGTGATGTTCAAATGAAATGACCTATTCCATTTTATAGTCATGGTAGAATATAGCATATAAGATGCTAGGGTTTGAGAAAGGCCAATTAGAGGAGGTATGTCTTGAGGTCAGTCTTGAATACAAATGGAGTAGCAAATGCAAAGTGTCATGGTATTAACTTCAGAAAGAAAAATTATAATTCCATTACCCAGAAGTGCAGTGCCCACGTGATTTAATGGGCTCTTCTGTTCTCAGACTAGCTGAACATGAGGAACCTGTGTGTGTGTGTGTGTGTGTGTGTGTGTGTATTTAACAGTATTAGTAAGGCCATTTACTAATCAGTATTCCATCTATTATTCCAAACCTCATGAACAGATTATAGAATCTGTACTTAGAAATTAGTCCAACTGTAGTAGACAGCTTATTTCATAGTTTAGGAGGCAAACTTTTAAATGAAAAAAGAAAGTGGGGGCTGGAGAGATGGCTCAGTGGTTAAGAGCACTGACTGTTCTTGCAGAGGACCCAGGTTCAATTATCAGCTCCCACATGGTGGCTACGAACCATCCTTAACTCCAGTTCCAAGGGAATCCAACGCCCTCTTCTGACCTCCGCGGCATTGCACGACATGGGTGCACTCACATACGTGCAGGTGATAACACTCATACATATAAAAATAGTAAATTTTTAAAAAAAGAAAAAAAAGTGAATGAAGGGCTAGTTGTGATGCCTGTAACCCCAGCACTCAGGAAGCTGAGGCAGGAGGATTGAAAAGTCAAACCCACTCTAGGTTTATATA